GGAAAAATAACGAGGAGCGAAGAGTACACGAGGAAGAAAGAGAAATGAGAAGAAATGAGAGGAGTAGGTTGGAGGAGGGAGAGAGAGAGAGAGAGAGAGAGTGCAGGGGAGCGTAGCACAGGGTATCAGGCAGCACAGGTGGAATCTGGTATCTGCCTGTTGAGAATATACGCTGTGTGAGACAGCCGGGAGAATGAGAAGCTCGAGGAGGACAACGGAGGAGGAGGAGGAGGAGGGGCAGGAGAGGGCGTAGAAGGAGGAGAAGAAGAAGAAGAAGAAGGAGAAGAAGAAGAAGAAGAAGAAGAAGTGAACAAAGAAGAAGAAGAAGAAGAAGGAAGAGAAAGATAAGAGGACGCTACGGTAGGAAAGAAAGAGGAAGAGAGATGCACCTAAACACCCTTGCGTGTACGATCGCGCGTTTTCTCCATCCTCTGGCGAACGCGTGTGCGTTTTGCCTTCGGCTTTGCCCCGTGAGGTCCACGGAATCCCTCCTCTCCTCTCTACTTTCCTCGAGCGCCTGTAATAATGTGCTCACATATTGGAGTACCTAAGGAGCCGGGCTAAGACGACGACGACTCTTGGAGAAGCGCTGAAGAAGGAAGAAAGAGAGAAAGAGAAGGGCTAGAAAGAGAAAGAGGAGGAGGAGGAGGAAGAGGAGGAGGAGGAAGAAGAAGAAGAAGAAGAAGAAGTCGAAGGAGTAAAAGAGGGTGGGAGATGGACACGACGGGCATTGCCGATGGAGCAAGCAACAACGTTTGTGTTCCATGATCACGCGAGTACGGATGTATGAGTAAAACGTGTGCTCACATGCCCGTGGCGGTAATAAGAGAAAATAAGTAAAACCCTAAGGTACAAACCGGAGGGGGCATAGGGCCGGCCGGCCGGCCGGCCGGCAGGCTCGTCGAGCAGATATCCGAGAGAGGGGCCTTCTCGTGCAACGAACAAGAAGAAGAAGGAAAAGGAGAGAGAGAAGGAGGAGGTGAACCTGTTCCCGAGGGAGTTCCTTGACCCTCGGAGAGGGGGGAGAGGAACCCAACGATTTCTCTCTCTCTCTCTCTCTCTCTCTCTCTCTCGCTTTCTTTCCCGCACTTTTTTCTCTTTTTCTTTCTCTTTCTCGCTTACGCGTGCACCTTCGAGAGAAAGACGCGGGAAGCCAACGGAGTAGCCACCATGATGCCCGCCGGCTAACTCTTCGGGCCCCGAACGAGCCAGCGGCGTCGTCGTCGTCGTCGTCGTCGTCGTCGTCGTCGTCGCCGTCGTCGTCGTCGTCGTCTTAGTCGTCGTAGTCGTGGTGGGAAGGGCCAGACAAGAGTGCCGGAGGGAGACGGAGAGGGAAAGAGGCTCCTTTACCGCGCAGCATCCCACTACTGCCGTCCGTGGACCATGCTGCTGCGCTATACTCTTTGCGCTACCACCGCTTGCTTACGCCGCTCTCTGCTAACCGACAAGCAACGAGAGAGAGAGAGAGAGAGAGAGAGAGAGAGAGAGAGAGAGAGGGAGGGAAAGAGGGGAAGGGAAAGAGGGAGAGGGGGAGAGGAATACAGCCACCGCACCGTACCGTCCCTCTAAAGTTTCTTCGACCGAGACTGACCTCGCTTCGCGCTACGATCACTTATTCTTCTTCTTCTTCTTCTCAAGAGAGAGAGAGGAAGAGAGAGAGAGGGAGAGAAAGAGAGAGAGAGAGAGAGAGGGAGAACGTTTTACGTATGTATGTTACGTATGTATCTATGCATGTATGAACCATAAGTGCATACATAAGTACATACATACATAGCCGAATTTCGCATGATTCCATTTCGCACCTCTTCGCGGCATATGCTCGTCGTTGCGCTTGGGAAAGGTCAAGGGACACGAGATGCTAATGCATCGGCATACGTACATACATACGTACTTTATTCTATCCTCGGTTTAGGGTATTTTATTAGATAGATAAGTGTATAAATAAATGAATAAATAAATAATTGTAAAAGGAAAGAGAATAGGAGAAGAAAGTTGGCGCTCACAGGCGCCGTTAAGATCTTTGCGATGTAACTTTAAAGATAATTGCTACTCCAAACGACAATCTTCGTTTATCGTATCTCACTAAGAATTTCTAACGGTCCATGTGTGTGCGCGGATATCCATACCGCATAAATGGAAAAGAGAAAGAGAAATAGGCTTTGCCCGAAGTATTGGAGATAACGCGTTTTTATTTAAACAATATTTCCCATCGAGGAAGTTAAAACGCGGAACTTTAGTGTTAGAGAGACAAAAGAAATTTATATTCCGTTTATGGATTAGATAAGATCCAAGGAAATATATCGTTCGATGGGATGAGGACGCGACGATATAATTGCACTTCAATAATTATATAATCGATAGGTTGTGTCGGTGGGGTTACGCCTTTTCCAGAAAACGATCTAACGTTAACGTATAGGTTGGATTATTTAAAGGGCCCTTAAAACGTTCGGCCCGTTTTTCTCTTTTTAACTATGACACGGACATGCGTATTATGCGGAACGTTATACGTATATTTACGGGACAGATATTCAATGACGATCCATGCCCAATGACAGAGGGACCATAGTGCGAGAAAGAGAAACGAGAACGAGCGATCGACGCGTGTGCCGATCTCATGGGGTATAATGACGGTGGACACGCGACAGAACTTATCCATTATTCATCGTCCGAAATCATTCTATGGAAATACATATACATAATTCCATTCGTTCGCTCGCTCGCTCGCTCGCTCGCTTTCGGTCCGATCGAGAAGCCCTTCACGCAGAAACCCGTGACCGAAGTTAACCGCTTCGCTAAGGACTCGATCGGCGGAGGGCTTACCCATGAAACGAAATCTCTAACCATGAAACGACGCTCCGAGAAGCGCAGCGAAAGTGATCGGTACTCATTGCTTTTAAAAAGATCTCTAATTTTAAGAGTTTCAACGGTGTTGTAAGTTTCTCTTTTTTTTTTTTTCTTTTTTTTTCTTTTTCTTTTTTTTTTCTTTCTTTCTTTCTTTCATTCTTTTTTCTTTCTCACCAAAGAATGCTCGCACCATTTGGTTTTTCGTGAAATTTCATCAAAAATATAAAGAAACAATTACAACGAGTGACATCACTTTTCGTCTCTCTCTTTCTCTCTCTCCTAATTATTCACGTTTTGTAATATTTACTTAATTGCTGATATAATATATACATACATATATATATATATATTTTTTTTTTCTCTTCTTATAATACAAGTTTGCAAAAAGTCGTGCATCAAAGGATCAAATAAATGCTCGAAGAGATCAATATGTTAGATTCCAGCATTGAAATGGATGACTGGTAGATAATGTTTAAAGACTCGCTACGTAAAATCGAATTTGCATATTCGCACGTTATTGCGCTAATCACGCAACGTTACGCTCGTTACACCTTAGACTCTCTCTAAGCGTTAATTTATTTGCTTTGGTACAGTTACATTTATTCGCATCGGCATAATCGAGTCACGGGCGTGTACATAAGCAAGGATATTTCTTATTCTTTCTTTTTTTTTTTTTTTTTCTTTTTTCTTTTCTTTTTTCTCCCGTTTATTCTCGTTTTCCTTCTCGAGAAGAGATCTTTACTTTGATCGTACGGGCTGCTCCTTCGACACGGACGATCGCCAATAGAAAAATATTTTCTCGGGGATATAACATCGTCCATGTGTCATTACTTTCATGAAGAACATCCGAGAAAAGAAAATATCGAAGGGGAAGCTCAGAAGAAAGTGAATTCAACGTGAGATCAAATATATGCGATAAGGACTGGTAACGAGAGAGAGAGAGAGAGAGAGAGAGAGAGAGAGAAAAAGAGAAAGGAAGATATAGCGGATGAACGGAAGAATAAACATATCAAACGAACGATTAAATATTAATGATAATTTTTCAAGGTTAAAAAGGGTAGTAAAAAAAAACTAATATCTCTTTATCTCTAAGAATATTTTTATCAAATGCTCGAGCAAAACAAATGATTCTACGATAATATAAGAAAAAGAGTTTTTGTTTAGAAAATGCCTATTGATAATTACGATATTATAGCGATCGTGAAATAAGAAATCTTAAATAACAGGATATAAACGTAACAATTGTAAAGATAGGAAAGGGATAAATTTGGAAGATTGAATGATAAAAAGAAAGGAAGAAAGAAAGAAAGAAAGAAAGAAAGAAAGGGAGAGAATAGCGAAGCAATGAAACGGTAATAAGATGAAACAAGATGTAATGCTTTCGAAGAGAAAGAGAAAGAAAAAGAAAGGGGATGGTGGTGGGGGTTGAGAAGAGGAGAAGGAAGAAGGGCCAACATCGAGCGTAAAGAGAGTAAGTAAATGTAAGGAAAGAGAGAGAGAGAGAGAGAGAGAGAGAGAGAGAGAGAGAGAGAGAGAAGTAGGAGAGAGATGAACACAGAGAGAGAGAGAGAGAGAGAGAAAAAGAGAGGGAGTCGAGTGGTGGGGGTAGAGTGGGTCCGGCGGTCGGTGCGCGTCGTCGTGGGTGGGGGTAACGGCGAAGCTAGACGAGAGGAGGCGAGGCGAAGCGAGGCGAGAGGATGGGGGGTGGCCCGCAGGCCGGCCCGCGGCTTCGGCTCCAGTATCCCTCGAGCGATCGTCCCTGTGTTTTCTGTGTTGTACTTCACTGGAGCCGCGCGGCCAGGTTTCTCTCTCCTGTGTGTTCTCCAACAACGCGGCGTGCGTGCGGCATCGTGAGAGATCCGACAGTGGAATATACGCGCACCCTCACCCTCTCTCACCACTCTCCACCACCTCTCTCGCCTTCCGTTACGCCTACGTAACCAGAGGGAGTACGCGACACGCGCGCACGTGCGCACACCTGTTTTTATCTTTCCTTTCTGATTCCTCTTCACTTCTCTTTTTCCTTTTCTTTTCTCTTGTTTTTTTTTTTTTTTTTTCTTTTCCTTTTTCTATCTCTTTCCCCCCCTGTCCCCTTTTACTTTTGACTTTTACTTTTATTTCTCTATACCTTTTCTCTCTTTTTTCCTCTGCTCCCTTTCAATCCCATTCTTTCTCCCTCCATCTAGTAATATCTAACTTCTCTTCGTTTCTACTTCCTCTTCTTTTCTTTCTTCTTCTTCTTCTTCTTCTTCTTCTTTCTTTGTTTTCGCTTGAATTCCCGTTAACCATTCTTTACTTATTCCTAATCCTCGAGGTGGATAATCGAGAATATAAATAGGTGTGTGAGAACGATCGTCGATTGTGCCGTGGAACCACGTGGATTCGTACGTTGTTACGATAAAAGAGAATAGAAGAGAAGAGAAGAGAAGAAAAGAGAAGAGAAGGGAAGGATATAGAAGAGAAAAGAAAAGAAGAGAAGAGAAGAGAGGAGTGGAGAGGAAAGAAAAGGAGAGGAGAAGAGAGGAGAAGAGAAGAAAAGAGAAGATAAGAGAGTGCCTGCTGGCAAGGAGTGTAAACGTCGTTCTTTCTTCTCGTAATCAGCGATAGTACGTACTACATATAGTGCGGCAAGAGGGATACAAATTAATTTTCGTATTAAAAGCATTTCGTTTCGTCGTGTTAAAGAGTCGAAGAAGACGACTACGCGTATCGACCTATCTTTTCACGCGGTCGAGACGCATATATACAGATTGTGTGTGTGTGTGTGTGTGTGTGTATGTGTGTGTGTGTGAGAGAGAGAGAGAAGGGTAAAGGAAAGTGTTCGAAGCACGAGAAGATGCTCGAGCGAGGGAAAGGTATCTACGGTGTTGCGAAAGTGTAGCTACGTCGTGCAGCATCATCATCTGTCCTGGATCCAGAGATCGAGCTCGCTTCTGCCGGAAAACTCGTTCTCTCTCTCTCTATCTTCGTCTTCGTTCCTATCCTTTTTGCTTTACGAAACGAGAGAAGATAGTGATCGCAAGGGTGGAAAAGAAACGATATTCTCGCGAGATATAATGTCTATACGTGAAGGAAGTGAATAAGTGTTTAATAAAGAGAGAAAGATAATAGTATGGAATTGTTACGTCAGTGATCCAAATCAGAGGATTATTTCTTTATAAAGTGGATGATCTTTTTATTATTTATTTATTTATTTGCTTTTTGTGCGCTCACGGACATCGCTCGTAAAGGATTACCGGGATTGTGTTAAGTGAAAAATATTCGAATCTCGTCTCTGTTGATTTGTGAGAAAGTGTTCCCCGATTAAATAACGTCAGGAGGGAAAGATCTATCGAATGAATAAACGAGGATAAAAAAAAAGGCGGGAAGAAACTAATCTGAAAGAGAGAGAGAGAGAGAGAGAGAGAGAGAGAGAGAGAGAGAGAGAGAGAGAGAGAGAGAGAGAGAGAAAGGAAGGAAGAAAATTGGGGAAGAAGAAAAAAGGATAAAAAAAGGAAAAAAGAAAAAAGAGGAATAAAGTGTATTCTGTTAGGAGTGCCGAAGAAAAAGTTTGCGGTCGAGCTACGGGGAATGGTGATGCGGTAGTCGAGGGATTCCCCAAGGAAAGACATGAGGGCGGTCGCCGCCTACGTCCTATTCCTTGCCCAGCTAATACAGGTAATGCGTGCGTCGCGTGTCCTCTCTTACCTTATAACAGTTCTATCCGTTAACACCGTCAATATTCTCTTCCGTATTATACTGATATAGGCATAAACTACGTTCAATGTCGTAAAGAGAAACGAATTTATCTATTTTTCTTTTTTTTTTTTTTTCTTTTTTCTTTTTTCTTTTTTTCCTTTTTACGGTCTCATTTAAAACGAATTTCAATCCTTTTCCTATAAATAATTCGTTTAATAATTTTCATTGAATTTTATTTGTTAATTTTTTTGTAAAAAAAAAAAAAAAAAAAAAAAAAAAAAGAAAAACAAAGAAAAAAAATCTCTTTTTTTTTTCTATTTCCTCGTCGATCATAATTGATAGAAATAACACGAATGAAACGTTCGACGACGTAGATAATTATTATCGTTGAAATTAATTGGTCTTGATTTTTTTGTCGTCTTTTTTTTTTATATCTTTCTTTCTCTTCTCTTCTCGAAACCTTACGAGAAAGATAACGCGAAAGAGATGAGACCAATCGAAAAATCAAAACGATACGCGGCAGTAGTTATTTTCGATCGGCTACCGACCAATGTCGGCTAACGTCTTTGAGTGAACGATTATTATTCTGAGAAGAGCGTGTGTTTATATGTCGTTCTGAAAGGTACCACTCGTTGAAATTTAAGTGCAGGTTGTCCGCCGTCGGTAAACTCTTTGAATGTTCCGGAGCATGAGTTTTTACACGATTTATCTTGACGTTTTATCAATCGATCACCAAGTAGAAACTTTAAGGAGAGGTTTTGTACTTCAGACGCATCTAACGATGCGTACCAAAGAGGCTTCATACGCACGAATAGTACAAAAGAAACTCTCTCACGAAAATAGATAGCTCTTATGGTCTATTAAAAATAGATACTCTTCATGCTTACGTGTTTGCACGCTTTCAAAGATATTCTTTATTATTAGAATATATCAATGCTTTCGAATCGAATATTACTCTTCGTAGAGTTTGGCGTGATATTTAGAGAGGAGAAGAAAAAAGAAAAGAAAAGAAAAGAAAAGGAAAGGAAAGAAAAAAAAAGAAAGAAAGAAAGAAAGAAAGAAAAAAACGTTTGCGCGTTGAAACGCGCATTAAGAATAACTCTAAATCACATGTCTTATATTATATTGTTAAATGTACGTGCAATCAGGAATTTAAAATCGTTTATGCGAACATAAAAGAAAATCGTCAATGTTACGTTATTGATTCTACAATCGCATCTTTCACAAGAATATCTTTTGCAATGCGATTAGCAATTGGTATAAACGTTGAATCTGTCGAATCGTCGGGTAATCTTGTTTTAAATATCCACGTACCTGGATTTATCGAGTATGAAAGAAATACGAGTGAGAGAAAAATCACTATTTTTTTCTCTTTTTTTTTTTTGTTTCTCTTCCTTTTATTAAAAGGAGAGAAAGTTACGTGAATATAACAAGTATCGTCATAAAATATTATTGGAAACGCAGTTTCATTATAGGAATATGTACGAATGTATTATATATATATATATATATGCATACATACATACGTACGTACTTACGTACTTATGTAAGTACGTACGTAGGTAGGTAGATACGAACAGACTCGTAAACACCTACTTATGCGAAGAAAGCTCATCTTTTAAAAAATATTATCCAAGTTGCAATGTACACTTCTACGAAAGCTTGACTTTCACGTAGCATATATCGTATATAACTTATGACTCGCTTGTAATTAATAATTATCGAGGATATTTACAATTTATAGTGAGAAAATGCGTCAACGAATGGTATTATGTTTCATGGAAAGTCTACGAAATTAAATTCTCTGAACGATCAAGAGAATGTTTTCGGTCGATTAATTTGAAAATATGTAAATTTAACGTTTCTACGGTAAATTACGTCACTAGTATTACGTATTATCAATAATTATCAAATTATAATTAATTGTACGCCGTTAGACGGGTACCCGTACGTGGCGTAAAGGCGTAAAGGCGATAAGAAAGAATGAAAGAAAAAGAAAGAGGGAGAAAGAGAGGGAGAGAGAGAGAGAGAGAGAGAGAGAGAGAGAGAGAGAGAGAGAAGAGAAAGAGATTGAATGATCATTTATTGATCACATATATTACAGCAAATCAGCGCGTTAAACTACTTTAAAGTGGAGCGATTAGATAAATACGGGGACGATTAGGGAGTATGAATCATTGGCCGCGTACGATTTATTGAATTACCTTTTCTTCTTAAGCATTAAAACACTTTCGGCAGCGGAGATAACGCCTTCGAAAAATGGCCGGTACGAATCATGCCATTATGTATAGCTTTGCTCTTTGCTAAATCGACTTTGGTTAATTTTTAATTTTTATTTCTTTTTTTTTTCTTTTTTTTTTTTCTTACTTTCTTCCTTTACAAATAAATAAACAAATAACGAAATATTTGGATTTTTCTTCGATTACGTAATATAACACGAAACCCCTTTCGTAACTCATTCGATCCATCGAAATTGATCTAAATACTTTTTGTCTCTTAGTATAACGAATGCATCTTAGAAATGTAAAAGCGTCGTGAGTTTCTTTTCTTACATGTATTTGCATAGTATGTATATATATATATGTATATATATATATATATATATATATATATAGATAGATATGTGTATACATGTATACAGTAACGTTATCTGTATACACCTTTTACAACCTTTTCTGCGATAGAAACGATGCGCTTGCGTAATAGCCATTCACCTGCCAAATGTCGGTAAAAGTTTAACGTTCAAACTCCCCTCCCTCGAACCCCCTACCCTCAATCTCAACTTCCCCGTTTGATAATCATTGTCTGCAACATAGGACCGTTGAAAATTTCATTCGCTATGTTTAATCGACGATCGTTTTCGTTTAATCGATTTATCCATTTCTTCATACCCCTTTCTCTAACATATTTATATATTTATAAGGATCGTGAGATAGAACGGTCAATTTATTAAGTGTAACGGTTGACATTTAACGATTGACGATTCGCAAGGGACAACTCGTTTTTGAGTGGATCCATTGCCGTGAAAGAGTAAATCATTTCTTTTTTATTTATTTATTTATTTATCTTTTTTTTCTTTTTTTCTTTTTTTTTTTTTTTTTTTTATGTAACCATTAAATTATACAACATCGCGAATAGAAACTTTACTTTCTGAATAAAACTCATTAAAATGTGCAAACATATCTCTCTTTTTCTCTTTCTCTTTTTCTCTCTCTCTCTCTCTCTCTCTCTCTCTCTGTTCATTTACAAAAGTTAGTAAGATAACGAAAAGAGAATAAATAAATAAATAAATAACTAAATAAATAAACAAGTAAATAAACGTGTTTAACATTACGTCTAATCTGGAACTTTAAAATTCGACATGTTACCTACTTCTTCTTCTTCTTCTTTTTTTTTTCTTTTTCATTTCGCGAAGTAATAAAAAAGTAGCCATTAAGTTTTAACAACCTAGAGATTGCCCATCTGTCGACATTTTTATTATATCGTTATCTACCTATAATACCGATGAATTTTATTTATCCTGTAAACATCGTGTATCTACCTACGTGCGATCAACATATATCCTTCTTCTTTTTTTTTTCTTTTTTTATTATTATTATTATTATTATTATTATTATTATTTTCTTAAACCGTATACGAGCCTTTCTCTTCGATCTTGTGATAAAGGTTAATATGATGAATTCACGGAGAAAGTTACCGTCGAGTTTTGTCGCTCGCTTGGGATCGTCGTAAGGATGCGGTTCTGGTATACGTAGCTAATGTCGCGTCGGACGAATGCACTGTCTCACGGCGTTTCATGTTTCTTCATATTTCTCTCTCTCTCTCTCTCTTTCTCTTTCTCTCTTTCGACTATTGCACAAGGATAGGAGGACGGCACTTACATCCTTCTGCTTGTTCTCTCTCCATCAGTACAGTCATACATATATACGTACGTAGGTAAGTACTTAGGTACCGGCAAGCGAGCACGCTTCTCTTTTTCGTTGTCTAGTCGAGTATAGTTATTCATCTTCCGACTATGTTAGGAAGAAGGAAGACCTACGTTGATAATTTGTAAGACGTAAATTCTTCTTCTCTTTCTCTCTCTCTCTCTCTCTCTCTCTCTCTCTCTCTCTCTTTTTCCTTCCCCTTCTTCTCTTTATTTATATCCGTATCTATATCTATATATTTCTTTTTTTTCTTTTATTTCAGTGAAATCTTCTATTAAATCCCGTTGCTTAAGACTCGTTTGATGGTACACGAAATCGACGCTTTCATGGCGGCCGCAGCACAGCGGTCCAGCGCTAGTGAGCGCATCCGGTCTCCCGTTCGTCGTCGTTCTCGCAAGAACAATAATAGATGCTTAGGAGAAAGAAAATCTGTTTCTGCTGCTGTTACTGCAGCAGCAACAACAGCAGCAGCAGCAGCAGCAGCAGCAGCAGCAGCAGCAGCATCTCGTTCGAGAGTTTATAAAGAAGGGGAAGCATCGGTTATCTCTCTTAGAAATGACTTTCGAAGAAGAGAAAGGAGAGCGTGTGCTCTCGAAGGGTTCCCGAACGATTTCAGACCTAGCCACGTAATTAAGCGCTACTCTGCTCTCTTTCAATTACAGCCTCAGCTGGAATCACCGTTATAACGTTGTTCGAACGTTCCAAGAACTCCGACGATTCGAATTTTATCTTAAAAACGACAGACATCTTTCTCTCTCTCTCTCTCTCTCTCTCTCTTTTTCTTATTTTATTGTATTCGTCTTGTCTCGTACAGAAGAGAAAGAGAGAGAGAGAGAGAGAGAGAGAATCTGGTTAGGTTCACGTAATCCTAGCTCTCTCTCTCTCTCTCTCTCTCTCTCTCTCTCTCTCTCTAAATACCAAGAGAACGGTAGTAAATCCCGTGGGATAAGAAAAAAAAAAAAAAAAAAAAAAAAAAAAAAGATTGGCCCGCTTTCAAGGGTCTACTTTTCGTTAGACGTCAGAAGATAAAAGAGTCTTTTGCTTCTTACGTAT